TGATGTCAGATAGTCCAAAGTTGATTAATCTGCTCACGCCACTTAATGAGAGTCCGATGCTCAGAAAACACGGTTTGATTTCACATGCAAGCCTGTTTTATCTTGCGCTGCCAACAGGATATTTTCTAAAAATAACCGACCAAAAATAGATAACAAGATTACATCTTCAGTGGAGCCTCACAACCCAATGATGAATTTCAAAATCAGAACTAACTGCATAGTATTAGACATCCCCGCTTAAATCTAAATTGAAAAAAATAAGGGGTATCAAGTTGAGCGCGAACTTACGTGCATCCCCGGACGAACCAAGCACATTCTATCGCCGCTACCTAGTAATAGACCACCGCCGATTTTCGCAGCTCGAGGCTTTGAAAGAAGATACGATAGGTGACCAAGGGCACATGAAAAACTCTGAGGAACTCCTTATCTGGGGACCAGTGTCCAAGTAAACCAACATCTCGGTGAGCGGGAAAGATGGTCAAACAATAGGTACACACAACATTCATGTAATCCCAGTTTAAACCTGGCAAATACTTGTGTGAATCACAGAAATCGACGCTATTTATTCGAAGCCCTAAAATCGCAACTTCTTAAAATCATTCTTGAAACTAACTCTAGTTGGAACGCTGTCAGATGTAATCACCTTAATTGATGTCACTCGGATTCTTGTTGTCAGTCTCTATCCAGTTTGCCTGAAACAGTGTTTGCAGATGTAGGCACCTAAGAATGAATGTGGCGAGCTAGCACAAAGACCTTCCATTGTCTACATTTATTGTTTTTTTCACGGCCAAGATTTTAATAAATTATGTTTGTACCACAACGAAGCATCAGCGTTTACGACCAATGTGAATTTGTTGCCGATCATGATGGGATGATGATGAAGATGATAGTGATGATGACGAAGATGATGGTGAAGATGATGATGATGATGACAATGATGATGATGACGACAATGATGATGATGATGATGGTTATGATGATGATGATGATGATGACGGTGATGATGATGATAAAGTTGATGATGGTGATGTTGATAATGATGATCATGATGATGATGAAGGTGACGATGATAATGGTGATAATGATGATGATGATGCTGTTAATAAAGATGATGATGAAGATGATGATGATGTTGGTGACGATGATGATGATGATGCTGATGATGATGATGATGATGATGATGATGATGATGATGGCAATGATGACTTAGGAGTGTACCCAATATTTCATCATCATCGTCAATGACAGCAACCTCAGATGGGGACATTAATGCTTTACTGACCTAGAACCATGTCGATATATTTGAATAGAACTGTTCAGTACAAGTAAGGGAGAAAGGAATGGAATAGCGTGAGGGGCATAGAGCCAGCATACAACAAACACTGCAGGTGCCTTCACCCCCAACGCACAATGAGGCAGGGTGGATAGAAACCGCCATGTTGTCTAGTTTTTCCAGCTGGACACAAAGAAGGTCCGGTGAACCGCATCCTGGAAGGTGGACAGCACAAACTGAACCCAAACATTTTGTAATATCATTCAGTGCCTTCTGTCGACCTCCAATTTTCCATTAAGCCACTCTGAACGAGGCACGCAGAAAGGGGTTACTCTCAGTAAGTTGACATAATTAACACCTTCACACTGCCGTAGTTTGTCCTATTAGTGCACAGGTAGTGATAGCCATAATACAAATCAGAAGGTGTATGTGCACTAATAGAATTTTTTAGTATGGTTGACAGTGAAGGGTTGCAACGCGTATGAAAATGAATATAACGCGAAATGGGAGCAAGTCAAAAAGGAACTTATCGGATGTGAGAGTCCCTTGGTGAAATTCCGGACGGCGGTAACGTGCTTTTCTCCGCAGTTTGGCTGCTACACGTGTTCCATGGTTGTCCGTGGACTTGTGGAGNGAGTTTGTGTGTCCTGACTGGATTCGGTTTCCCTTTATGTAGGTCCCAGTGCGTGTACGTGGGCGCGTCGGCACATGAGTGGTTGCTACGCTGACTGGGCGGTGCACACAATCGATGTCCAATGAGAAAGCTTAATGCGACGTGTTTGTGCGTATGAAAAAAAGACAAGCCTCGCGACCGCGTGAGCGACTGAGTTGACCAGTCAAGTATGTGGGTGACCGGGTCGCTACAGTCCCTGATTGTATGGGGCCTCCTGCATGCCTGCAGTCTCCGGCATGCGAATAGTCCTGGACAGTGTTAGTTCAGTCTCATGCTTAGCAGTTGCTCTCGCACATGTTCAGCGGCCTCGTTGTTGTAGGTGATACTTAAATACGTCCGACATATTACCTTAACGCGTTATATCCCCACCGGGGTTTTGATTTTATGAAGTGCGAGAGACCGTAGCGTTGAGCTGATTCAACCAGAACCATCTGTGTAAAATGAGTAGACGCCAAGAGAATCAGTTACCCAGACGTGTGACAATCGTTCGTAATTGTGAACAGACGGCTTTCATAGTTTGGCAGGGCAGACTGACTCGTTTCAGTGTTAGTTTCAGTTAGGTCTCATCGTGTTTGATTTATAACGATTCGACAAATTTCGAGGTGCTCGGATACTCATTGGAACATAGTTCGAGGCCAAGTAGCGGTGTCCCAAATTGTCCTTATCACGGAAGATAAAATTCGATGCGTTGGGCAACCTTCCAGCTTAGCGTCGAAGCATTTTCAACTTTCTGTCGAGACACGGAGGTTCACATCAGATGGTCACATAAATTTTGCTGAACCAAAGTGTAAATGTGGCTTGGACCATCAAACAGAAAAATGCGCCAGCCAGAAGGGAACGCATTCACCTGTACACCAATTTAGTTTTCAGTGAGAATCGACTGAATCCGGCTGAATTTCTATTTCGAATAACCGTACTGCGATATCTCGGCTATCGTACCAGTTTAAGCGTGTGTCGATGGCCTCTATGCAGCGCATTCATTTGAAGACCGTCATGAACGAAGTATTCAGTTGATACTTCTGTTAAAACCAGACTGACGTGCAAGTGAGTATCCATGACGATTTTGGACAGTTTAGGTCTCAATAGAACTTATGTTTAGTGAAAACATGGTGATTGCAGCTACCCGATGGGGTCGGAAAATGGAAAACCAGTCGTGAGTTTTCGAAGAGTTTCACCACCACTGGTATGAATAATTTCTTCCGACATTAATGATGGTGTCGCCTCGTTTGTTGAAATTTCAGATTATGACGAATCATGAATAGGTTTCAATTGTTCAGAAAGTGTACA